GTGCCTCATGTCACGGTTGCTCCCACGGCCAAACACAGTTCCCGCCAACACATACCAAGCGAAGAAGGTTATAAGTCCACTCACATTGGGGGTTAAAAAAAATCCATGCATGCCCCAACCACTGTATCCTTTTTCGACGTGGCACATCATTCGAGACTTTAGATACATGTCCTAGGTGTGGGGCTAGTCGGTACAAGAACAATGACCTTCAAAGTGGGGTGGAAGCCTCCACAGGAAAGAGGAAGAAGGGTGGGAAGAAGGTGGTGCAAGAATCTCAGCCCCCAGAGGAAACTCCATTAGGCAACGATACAAATAAGAGAAGAATTCCTGCCTTGGTTATGTGGTACTTGCCAGTGATCGACCGCTTAAGGTGTATGTTCCTAAACCCTAAGGAAGCCGCACTGATGACATGGTGGGATGATGAGCGCAAGGTGGATGATGATACGATCGGACACCCGGCCGATTGTAGCCAGTGGCAAGCGTTCGATGCCAAGTACAAAGCAGAATTCAGTGATGACCCACGGAATGTACGGTTCGGCTTGAGCATCGATGGAATGAATCCCTTCAATGAGAGGATGACCGACCACAGCACATGGCCAGTCATCTTGACCATGTACAACCTCCCAACGTATTTGTGTCAGAAGAGGAAGTACCTTCTCCTCACCATTCTTATCTCCGGCCCCAAACAACCAGGCATTGATATAGACGTGTTCTTGGAGCCTCTGATGCAAGAAATGGAGAGGCTATGGAGGTATGGGGAGCCAATGTACAATGCGTTCCGGCGGGAGAACTTCATATGCAAAGCAATAATATTTGTTACTACCAATGATTACCCCGCGCTGTTTGCCCTGTCTGGACAGTTCAAAGGCAAGACTGGATGCTTAGTCTGTTTGGATGGTACTAAATGGGTGTTCCTAGATGGATCCAGGAAGATAGTTTACATAAGGAACCGGCGCTTCTTAAAGACAGGTCACAAGTACCGCGGCAAATTATACCTAAGATACTATGGCAACATCCCGGAGGATGAACCCCCTCCAGAGAGACGTCATAATGGAGAACATGTGTTCAGAATGGTCCAAAACATACACGTCGTCTATGGAAAGAAGAATCCGGATAGAACGATCAGAGATAGAAGCACACCTCCTATCGAAGGTGTACCATTCAAGAAGCAATCGATCTTCTTTCAGTATCTGCCTTATTGGCCAGACTTGGAGGTCCCCCATGCCATTGATGCGATGCACATGCAGAAGAATATATTTGAGAGTCTCATGGCTACCTTGATGGAAACGGGCAAGTCAAAGGATGGTCTCAGATCATGGAAAGACATGGTGCAACTGAACGTGATGCGGGAGCTTTGGCCGATACAGCAGGATAATGGCAAGTACAGTCTTCCTGCGGCTAGCTTCAACCTAACCCTAGAAGAGAGGAGAGCTATATGCAATTTCTTTAGGGGGGTCAGAGTGCCGACTGGGTTTTCGGCGAACCCGAAGAAGCTAGTGTCGATGAAGGACCTATCATTAACATACTGCAAGGCTCACGATTGTCATGTGATGCTGACAGTGTTCCTACCAATTGCAATCAGGGCTATAAAGCCAGAGTTCTTAAAGATGGCCATCACCCGCATGTGCTACTTCTTTTCGAAGATCTCACAGAAGACGATTCGCAGGCAAGAGCTGAGTGACCTACATGAATTCATGGTGGAGACCCAGAACCAGCTAGAGATGTGTTTACCTCGCGCTTTTTTTGATATAATGGTACATCTCATGATTCACCTGGTACATCAGATCGAGGCGCTAGGCCCTAGCTTCTTGCATGAAATGTGGTCCTACGAGCGGTTCATGTCGGTTCTAAGCCGATACATGCATAACCGAACACACCCAGAGGGCTCCATGATAGAGGGTTATAATTCCGAAGAAGTCGTCGAGTGCTGCCAAGAGTGGCTAAAAGTACAGAGAGGGATTGGTAATCTCGATTCTCATCACAAGGGAAGGCTAGCTGGGAAGGGCACAAGTGGTAGGAAAGTGTTCCTTGACAATGATTACAGAGAGGTGAGTCGGGCGCATTACAGTGTCTTGCAGAGTATGGCAGTGATGCAACCGTACATTGATGAACACATGGCTATCATTATGGCCGAGAGGAATGGCCGTTCAGATGATTGGGTCATGAAACAGCATAAGCAACGCCTGACATCATGGTTGAAGGACCAGAACATACAGCCTAGAGAAACCATAGATTCTATTACCATCAGTCGGTTGGCGGCCGAGCCATCGAAACAGGTGACGTCTTGGAATGCTTATGACATCAATGGGTACACATACTATACCGACACAAAGGACAGGAAATCTATGAATCAGAACAGCGGCGTCCGAATAGAGGCTCTCGACGGAGTGGGGCGAAAGGTCCTGTACTTTGGCATAATTGAAGATATATGGAAACTTGACTATGGAAGGGATATAAAGGTGGCCCTATTTCGATGCCACTGGATCAAGCAACATCAATTCAATGAGATCGGACAGAGAGTCATCGACCTCCAGAATGTAGGCTACCAGGATGACCCTTGGGTGCTCGCTGAACGTGTCGCGCAAGTCTTCTATATGCCCGACCCGCAAAGTAACCTCCCCCCAAAGAAGAAGACAAAGCACGTGGTGGCCTCCGGGAAACAACATATCATCGGAGTTGATGGCGTGGACGATATTGAAGCTTACAATAAGTGCAATGAGATGCCGCTATTCACAGACTTTTATAAGAAGATCGAGGCTGTGGAAAAGAACCTGCCCAAAGATGTATTGCCATGGGAACGAAAAGGTGTCAAGGGGAAAGTTATCACGGTGGGCTAGCTAGTTTATGTAAGTGTGTCAGTGTTCATAAGACTACATTCATGTATGTGTATGTGAGACTACATTCATGTATGTAAGACTACATTTATGTATGTGTGTTTGAAACTACATTTATGTGATAAAGTGATACCCCAAATGATTTCAGTTGAAAAAGTGATAGATACCAAAGTTGAATAACTCATCAAGATCTACAATTTTTGTATTGGTCATTTCTTCATATGACAAAGTGGTAATGATATTGTTCACAAATATGACACATCTCTCGTAAGGTTTTATAAACTATGTGAGACATGTGTAAGATTAGTGAACAATGTGTGCTAAGAATTTATCAAATGAATAAATGACCAAAATAAAAGTTGTAGATATTCATGAGTTGAACAACTTTGGTATTCATCACTTTTTATGTTGAAATCAATTTGGGTCTCAAATTTTGGTTCGAACTTGTTGTTTTCCAAAATTTCAAATTTGAAAGGTTCAAATTTTGTGAAATGACAAGATGACTAAAATAAGAGTTGTATATATTAATGAGTTGAACAACTTTGGTATTCATCATTTTTTATGTTGAAATCATTTTGGGTCTAAAATTTTTGTTCGAACTTGTCATTTTTCAAATTTAAAAATTTGAAAGGTTCAAATTTAGTCAAATGACAAGATGACCAAAATAAAAGTTGTAGATCTTGGTGAGTTGAACAACTTTTGTATTCATCACTTTTACATCTGAAATTATTTAGGGTTTCAAAATTTGGTTTGAACTTGTCAAATTTGAAATTTCAAATTTAAAAACGTGTAAACATTGTCACATCCAAGTTTGATCACACTTAAATGTTGAAGCATGATTTTAGAAATTTTTAGGAAAAAAAACCATCACATTTGGAGTTAGTATGAGGGAGAACAACTAGTTACAAAGTTTACCCATAGATTAAAAAGAGAAATCACACTATTCTAGATGATTCTTACATGATCATAGTGAACGGTGTGATTTTTTTTTATCTGTGGGTCAACTTTGTAACTAGTTTTTCTTCCTCATACTAACTCCAAATCTGATGATTTTTTTTCCTAAAATTTTCTAAAATCATGCTCTGTCAATTTATTTTGTTGGTTTTGTCAATATATACATATGAAAAGTTTGAGCAATTTAAATTTTGAATTTTAAAAAAAATGTAACTTCAGACAAGATTTTGGTACCCCAAATGATTTCAGCTGAAAAAGTGATAAATACCAAAGTTCAATAACTCATCAAGATCTACAACTTTTGTATTGGTCATTTCTTCATATGACAAAGTGGTAATGATATTGTTCATAAATGTGACACATCTCGTAAGGTTTTATAAACTATATGAGACATGTGTAAGTTTTGTGAACATTGTGTGCTAAGAATTTATCAAATGAATAAATGACCAAAATAAAAGTTGTAGATATTCATGAGTTGAACAACTTTGGTATTCATCACTTTTTATGTTGAAATCAATTTGGGTCTCAAATTTTGGTTCGAACTTGTCGTTTTTCACAATTTCAAATTTGAAAGGTCCAAATTTTGTCAAATGACAAGATGACTAAAATAAAAGTTGTAGATATTAATGAGTTGAACAACTTTGGTATTCATCACTTTTTATGTTGAAATTATTTTGGGTCTAAAATTTTGGTTCGAACTTGTTGTTTTTTAAAATTTCAAAATCGAAAGGTTCAAATTTTGTAAAATGACAAGATGACCAAAATAAAAGTTGTAGATCTTTATGAGTTGAACAACTTTTGTATTCATCACTTTTACATCTGAAATCATTTAGGGTTTCAAATTTTTGTTCGAACTTATCATTTTTTAAAATTTCAAATATTTTAAAATTTTGGTTCGCCCTCTCCATGGTACAAATATTTCTATCTCTTCCTACAGCCCACGCATACACCTTTCAGCCAACCCGCACCTTCTAGGCACGAACACACGCATCTTATCCGCACGGACGTACCTTCCCCGCGCTGCTCGTCCTCCGTCGAGCCGATTCCCTCGCGCCGCCCGGCCTTGCGCCCCCTGGCCTCCTGGACTTGCGGAGGCGCCCTCCATGCGGGTCGTGCAGCACTCTCGGATGCATATTTTCCCCTGAATCGGCGAAGGGCGAACCCTAGCGCGGCGACAGCGCGGGCGGCGGTGGGTGGGGCGCAGCAGCCACCATGACCCCCATCTCCGCCGTGGAATCCGTCCCCGCCAATCAACTCCTACGTCTCGTGGCCAAGGTTCCCCCACTCTCCCCTTCCTCCTGCCTAGGATTTGTTCTACACGGGCCTAAACCCTCACTGTTGGTTCATAGGGCCTCACGGCGGAGCGCGGAGGAGGAGCCGCCGCTTCCGCATTCGACTCCGCCGGGTTCGGTGGGTTGGTGCAGCAGCTCGGCTCCAGTGCCGTGGATTTCAGGTAAACCCCAACCTTGCGCGCCCGTGGCGTTGCCTAGTGGCAGTGTTTTATTCTGGTGCTGAACCGTGATTGGTGAGGAGTGTTGACGCCGGTGCTGTGCTGTGCAGTATGCAGGATGTCAAGGGCTCATCCAAGAGCTTCCCCAAGCACGAGGTGAAGCATGTCTCTGACCATAAGGTGCGTATGGTTCCAATTTTCCCTTGCTAATTTACTACTTGAAACAGCTTTTGTGTCAGTCTCCTGCTTATCTGGATATTTACTACTATTCTTGCACATTTTGCACTTGTCACAGTACCATGATTATGTATATAACTTGAGATTGACCCATCCATATATTTTACTGATGTTCATTGGCTTATTATCAAGTTACCATTGTACTTTTTCCGTAGAGCGCTGCCCGGTGCGCGAAATTTAGTCCTGATGGAAAGTATTTTGCAACTGGGAGTGCTGATACATCCATTAAGTTTTTTGAGGTAAAATTGTCGAGTGCTAAGTGGGCTTGTGCTGTTTTGTACTTAGTTGCAACTTGCAACTCACTATTGCTCTCTCTCAGGTTGCTAAAATTAAGCAGACTATGGTAGGGGACTCCAAAGATGGTCCTGCCAGGCCTGTGATTCGCACATTTTATGATCACACACAGGTGGGCATGTATTGTTCATATATGCCAGTTTATTTACTGTTTAAGGTCATGAGACTCTTTTCAACACTTCCACAAGATTGCTCCTGAGTTAGGTCTCCTGTAGTATTTTTTTCCTTGAATATGCGGAGAGCTGCATATCATTGCATTATCTAAAGACTGAAATGCATGGGTAGATCAAATCCACCTGCCACCACACTTATATACACATGCTCAACTCACATTTAGCACACTGGATGCACACCTAGCACATGCAGTTTATAGTTAGATATTTGCTTACTGAGCTGTTTGGAGCATTGACATGGTATTCAATTTTTTAGTAAACAACTCCATTTTTCACTAGTTGCTTATTTTATTTTCCATCGCTCGAATTTCCACTGTGCTCATAAATATGATTGATTTCTTGCAGGCCATCAATGGTCTGGATTTTCATCCTGAGAGTCCAATACTGATATCAGCTGCAAAAGACAATACAATAAAGTATGCTTATCCTTAATGTCTACACTCCTTTCTGTTAAATTGTCTATTTGAAATGCTCATACTGGGATTAAGCATGATTCTTATTTTTTAGGATTTTTTTGTGGTATTAATTGCTATCTGTGTTATTGTTTTGTACATGAAAAAATTGCTCAACAGATTCTTTGATTTCTCAAAAACCAATGCGAGGAAAGCGTCAGAGAGTTATTCAGGTTGTAAATTCTAGCAACCTAATCTATGTATATATCATGTAAAATGGCGTGTTCATTGCATTTAACCAGGCTCAATTGTTAATGCTTGGCAGGATACTCATAATGTTAGATCTGTATGTTTTCATCCTTGTGGGGATTACCTTTTAGCAGGTACTATGATCTTTTCACTTAATTTAAATTTAATTTCTACTTCTGTTGTTATTAACTGATTCGTGATTTCGACATCATTTTGTTTTGCTCTGATTTTTATGCATTATAAGTTTTTAACATGCTTTCAGTTGTTATCTGTAAAGTAATTTAATTATTTCACCAAAACAATTTGATATCCAGGCCCATGAATTTGGATTTCGTTCTGGATCAACAGTTCCTATCTCTTGGGCATTTGAAAATACTGCAAGCATATCTTATGGAATTTTCTTCTTTCTTATAGTCAAATATTTTCATCCACATACGTATTTTTTAAAAAATAACTCATTTTTCATATATTGATGAATATCGTGGAAGCAAGTGACACCGATAAAGTTATTTGCAGGGGACTGATCACCCAGATTGCTCATTTATATGATATAAATACTTTTACATGCTACTTATCAGCAAATGCACAGGATTCTAGTTCTCCCATTAACCAGGTAGCTTTTCTCTTTCCTTCTGATTCACAAGCATTATATTGCATTGGTTATATTCTCATCAAAGGTTAATTTTACTCCGCTAGCCGTGCTTACTGATGTCGCTGCCAGGTACGCTACTCTTGTACTGGGAGCTTGTATGTTACTGCTTCTAAAGATGGTTCTTTGCACATTTGGGATGGAGTATCTGCTGAATGTGTTCGGCCTATTACTGGAGCACATGGATCCGCAGAAGCTACTAGCGCAATTTTCACCAAAGATGAGAGGTAAGCGAGCTACCAGTCTGTCTAAGGTGCTCTTCCCTCAAGATAAGATCCAGTTATTGTTTGGTTTGAAGAACAGAGAGGCAGGCATATGCTGTATGTTTGATTCAAAACAGTAACTACCTCAAACCCTGTTTGGAATGTGAGAATCTTGTAGTAATTCTGAATGATTTGTAGCATGTTCTGGTGAATTTCCTGTGTTTAGACAGGTCTTAACTTTATCACATGAATAGCAACTAACAGCTCTTTCTCCTTTGCCCTAATGTTTCACCACTAAACAACTAACCTGCCTATAAGCACTTTTGAGACTTCTTCTGAAAGGCCTAGTGTTTATTCTAGTTGTATTTACTTGTTGTGATTTTGTGAAACCAGTGTCAAAATGTTTAGTGTGAATTGGTGTACTTCCTGGAAATGCTTAAATATATGTCAGAGTTGAGAAAAGATTGTTGTTACTTGATTTGAATTATATATATATATATATATATATATGGTCAGATTTGAATTTGAATTATTTATTTTTTTGCTGGAAAATCCACTGTAGGGGCGGCTGGTGATACAGCCGCTCTTACAGAAGTCCACTATAGGAGCGGCTGATATTACCAGCCGCCCTTACAGAAGTCCACTATAGGGGCGGCTGATATTACCAGCCGCCCCTACAGAGGTCACTGTAGGGGCGGCTGAAAACACCAGCCGCCCCTACAGAGGGCACTGCAGGGGCGGTCAGAAAACCGCCCCTACAGAGACACCCTCTGTAGGAACACCCTGAGAAGGACGGCTGGCGCAGCCGCCCCTACAGAGGCTCTAGAGCCGCCCCTACAGTTAAATTCTGTAGTAGTGCGGCAAGATCACCACCGTTCCCTGTCGGTGGTCCATTTTTCCGATCAACATCCCCTTGTCGGTGGTCAACACAAAAGCGATGACTTCCTCTCTCGTAGGCTGTGTCTGTGGTTAGTTACCCACGTGCGTCATAGTAGGATGCCAAATAAATTTTGGCTACTTTGACCAAAATTGGACTTCATATAGGAAAAGCTAAGGTGATTTATGGCATCCAATCCAATACTAGGTTAAAACGCAAATACATCCATTTGTTTTAATCATTCCAATCCCTAATATCTCAACAGTAACTATTGTACTGTCTTTGTCTGTACTGTGACTTGAGGCACCATCTAGACTTCTTATCCTAAAATAAACCTAGTTGCCTCTTATGAAAAGAGGTCTCTCCGTGGGCGCTCATAAGTTTCATATCAGTTCCTAGCTTTATGATTGGACTCGCATGCTTGCACGCGAGATTGCACCTACGTTGAATATGCTTGCACATATGCACAAGCCGACGTGGACCTGTGCATGGCCATATGCATCTCACATAAAATATGCATTGTTTACACATAAATTATGGATAGCACTATTATCGTCAGTCTCTTTAGAGACAGCTGTAGATGCTCAATAAAGACGGCTGTTGGTGCTCTATATAGATGGTTGGGCCAGCCGTCTTTACTCTTAAGTTGCTAGAGATCATCGATTTCTAGAGGCGGCAGGGCAATAACAGCCTTCCCTAGAAACTGATTTGTAGATACTAGATACTGTGGTAAATCATAGTCACTCTACAAATCGTTTACCAGGAAACCATAAATTAAATCGGCCAAAAAAAGTATTTTTTAATCAAGGGACCCATGTCGTAAGTCACGTGATTTTTCACACAAAAATAGGCGGGACTGAAACCAGAGACCTATGATCTTGCGGATAGCTGCTTTACCCACTCTACGCAAAGTCACATGTGTCTATATATAAAACATATTAATTTCCTCGTACTCACTTTTGAAATGAGTATTTGGGACCCTAGTTGTATTCAAATAAAAAAATTCAGCTGTAGAGTTGTAGATGTCCTTTAGTACTGCAACTGTGGTCTTGGCCGTTTCTTCAACCGAGGTCATTTGGAAATTTTGAATATCAAATTTAAGAAATTCAAACATAATTTTCTTTCGATAAATGATTTCAAATTTAAAAGTTGTCAACAACAAAGTTTCTTCAAACATAATTTTCTTTAGACAAAAAAAATTATCAACAACAAAGTTTCAAATGAAAAGTTATCAACCGCGATGTTCTATATCTTTTCATGATATATACTCCCTCCGTCCCTATATACCCGGCGTACAAGCCCGGATTACAGAGACCAAGACGGTCTCGGGAATATGTGAAGCGCATTAACTCCGTACGTCTGATTAACACCCGTGCCGCCGGCCACGAACCGCTTGCATGCAGCGAGGTCACAACACTTCAGCTCCATGTCATGCAAAGATGTAAATGACGGAGGAGTACTAGCTTGCATGCACCGCTTCCTAGACTGGACGAGTAAATGACGGACGCCTCGGCATACATGCACCGCCTGGTACTGTGGCCAATTTAAAAAACGGCTGTACGCCGGGTATACAGGAATGGAGGGAGTAGCATGGTTTTAGTCATTTCCACATTCATGGTTGTTTGGAAATCTTGAAAATTTTGAATTTAAAAATATGAGAACTTCAAATAGAATTTGCTGCATCCAAATTATTTCTAATGAAACAGCTGTTAAATACAAAGTGTATATCTCGAGATATACAGCTTTGATATAAGGATTGTCTTCATCCCACTTCATTTGAAAAAGTTATCAATTTTACTGTGTTACACCGATTTTTAGAAAAGACATAGATCTAGCCACCTATATTATTTCATTTGTAGAGGAGGTTACATCAAGAGCCGCCTCTAAAGATAAGGGCATTTGCAAAGGCGGCTCAAAATAGCAACCGTCCCTACAAATGCATTTCTAGAGGCGGCTCTAGATGGAACCATTTTTAGATGCAGCTGTAGATTGAGCCGCCTTTACTTCGAAAAAACCGCTGTTTCTATAAATCATAAAGGTAGTAGTGTAATATATATTTGAGTTGTTTTTGTTTTTTGTTCAATCATCGGCGGTTGCTAGGAAAGTTCACGTGCCTCGTGCCTATTCGGACTGCCCAACTAACTACTCGTCCTCATGTGATTACAAGTCTATGTCATGTCATATGTTGTTTGTATATGTTGCATATTTTCTTTAACATGTACCATGTCTTTATATATTCCATCTGTCTCCTATAAATGCACATCTTGTATATCGAGAGATCAAACTTTTTTAACAGAGGCAGTCGTCTTGGAACACCAGTCTTTGTCAATTTTCAGAGGCAGACATCTTAAGATGCCCGTCTCTAGAAATGGCTATTAAAAAAGATAGCCATTCCAAGCACTCGTGTATAAAAACTGATTATCAGAGGCGGGCATCTTACAATACTTGTGTCTAAAAATAGTTTCGTCTAAAAACAATGCATAACTTTTTTTGTATGAATTATCAAAATTCTTGCTGTCGACATGATCTACAACTTTGTAGTTGAGAGTTTTTTTTATTTGAACCTGTTTTAGATACTACAAATATTGTTTAAAGTTCATGCATTTTTAAATTTGAAAATTTCAAACAACCTGAGATGTTGACAAGGTGTACACAAAAGTTGTTCTCAATACAATATAGAACGTTGTAGTGGAAACTTTTTTTTTATTTGAAGTCCTTTAGAGTCTCAAATATGTGTCTTAAGTTAATAACTTTTGAAATTCTAAATTTAGAATTTTCAAATAACCTTGAATGTTCACAAAGTTAATACCAAAGTAGTAGTGACCACCTGATATATATGTTCGTTGTTGGTAAGTTTTTAACTTGAAATTTTTAGTTTCCCAAATAATTTTTTTAATTCATATATTTTGATATTCAAATTTTTTTTATTTTTCAAACAACCTCCGATGCAAATACATTCTATACTAAATTAAGTCAAAGTTCTTAACAATATTTAACACTATGTATTTGAAACTTTTTTGTTTGAGTTCATTTAGTATCAAAATATTGAATACAATATTACA